CTTTTATTTTGGACAAAAATGCTGAGGCTGGATTTAAGGGCTGTTTTGCTGTTGTTTTGTGTGGTAACATGTGTTTCTGGGATGAGACGAGAGTACTTTTTAAAGATAGAAGAGGTGTCGTGGAACTATGCTCCAACTGGGATGAACATCATCCAAAACCGCTCAATCCAGGACGATGAGTAAGTGCGCACGATACATTTTCCATTTTATCACAGAGTCATAAATCAATATGAAATAAAGAATCAAAATGGTTACAATCCCCCCCTCCCCTCCCCAACACGACATGTTAATATTTGCTTCAACAGCAATTGACAAACAGGAATGATATGATCACTTATGGGCTGCAGATACTAATATAAGAGCACCGTTATAGCCTACTGAACGTATTGCACTGCATATGACAAATATATAAGTTAATATGAAGACACTGTGATGAAAAAAATGGCAACTATATATTTATAAATGTACTTCTTGGATAATTTGGTATCCTGGTGTTGCTCATGCTGAATCACTGTCATGGGTTATTGGTTATTTACACGTGTATCATCACAGTGTTGGTACACGTGCTTCATCTTGTAGTCACAGGACCAGAATTATCAGCATAAAATCAGTTTTTGGTGATAAAAAACTACTTATTATTTATTATAGAGGTGGAGCATAAACTTTGCCCGGTGCTTTTGCAGCTGACCTTTTGCACGTGTATTTGTAGGAGTTTTTCTTTATTTAATATTTAAACGAATCATGCAAACTTGATTCATTAAGTGTTATTCGTTTGGCGCGAGAGGAAGGCTCAGAGCTGTTAGAGCAGTGTGAACATTTTTATTCTGTCCTGTAACCCTTTCTTATTCCTGTAGCAGAATCTCAGTTGTGCGCCTCTATGAAAACCTACTGGGCTTGTTACGAAATGATGAGAATCGAGCTGATCTGAACTTCGCACGTATACAAAAGAGTTGTACCCGTTGTTTTACTGGTAGCCAAGTTACTTTTTATAGTGAGCAGATAAGTTTGAAGTCTGACATTTTTACCCAATACAATGTCTCTGCATGCCTTTCCTCGACAGTCACTCTGTATTTTTTTCTGTCTTTCTTTACTTCTCTATGTCACCGCTGTTATATCACATATTGAAATGTCTGTCGGGGAATGTATGAGTGTGTTGGATTAATGTCTACATCTTGCAATAGCCTACATAGCAGGCTTTTCATATACATCTCTACGCACAGCCTCACACAGCGCGCGTAACGGTGTTACGCGTTCTCATTCCCGACGCGTTGGTACGTTACGCTGTGGGAGTGAGAACGGTCTCGTTACTCGATGCGCACAGTTACGCAGTTGAGCACTTAGTAACAGTATCATCATTAGCACTCAGCTGTGTTTTATGTTTTATGTTCTTCTACACATCATATATCTTATTACAGATTTCGGTGTATTTGGGAAGTTTTCGCCAAAGTGCAGCCTTTCTCTTGGATAAATCGCGCTCCAGTCTCAACCTGCCGGTTACATCATATATTTTATTTTATTCATATATATCAAAGCATAAGCATATATCAAACATATAGATTCTTTTCCAGCTTCCCCTCTCTTATCTCATTTGCTGTGCTATTTCAGGAAGAAAGACGCTGCGCGTTTTTGCCATTGGGACCTTAACCTTTTAGTAAATCTGACCCATGATGTCATTTGTGGAAAAAAGAGTGTTAGAGACACTCAGCCTCTCTAGAAGCTTTACGTGTTTTAACTTACATAAGGACACATACACAAAACCACTCTCACGCATCTCTGCCTGAATCCCTCAACAGAGAAGCTTCCGTCTTTTTAAAGAGCGGTCCGCAGCGTATCGGCTCAACCTACAAGAAGGCTGTTTATAAGCAGTACAGCGACGCCACCTACAGGACGGAGTTGACGAAGGCAGAATGGCTGGGTTACCTCGGACCTCTGTTGATGGCTGAGGAGGGTGACACACTGATTGTCCACCTGAAGAACACAGCGTCCAGACCTTACAGCGCCCACCCACATGGTCTGAACTATACTAAAGGCAACGAGGGTGAGAAATGCACAAACGGATGTACTACTAGAGTGGAGAAGAAAGGTTAACACATGCAATATGTGACTGTGTTTGTGGGTTCACTCCTCAGGAGCCCTCTACCCTGATGGCACGGGTCCAGAGCTGAAGCGAGATGATTCGGTAGCTCCTGGTCGAACAGTGACCTATGAGTGGACCCTCGCAGAATCCCACAGCCCAACATCACATGACAGCAACTGCATGACCAGATTCTACCATTCCCACGTCCGCCCGCCAAAAGACATCAACTCAGGGCTGATAGGGCCCCTCATTGTCTGTAAGAGAGGTACATTTACTCCACTAAATTTACTTAAGTACAACTTTAATATATTTTATTTATAGTCCAGTGTCTTTCAGAGCCAAACATTCTACCTTTTTCTCTTGTTAACATTATGTAACTATGTTTACATTATAGATTCATAATAGAACACAATAGACAGTTTTTAAAAACTTGTTTATTTTTATATTTATATCTATTTTTCATCCCCCTTTTCTTTTGTTTTGGAAAGCACTGCCTGTCTTTCTAAATGTCCTCTCCTCTGCAGGAACTCTGGACTTACACGGTGATAGTTCAGCAGACTACCAGTATGCTCTGCTGTTCATGGTGTCAGATGAGAACTTCAGCTGGTACCTGGATGAAAACATCAGGACATACATCACAAATCCTGCCAGAAACCTGAAGGAGGACGAAGACTTCATTGAGAGCAACAAGATGCATGGTGAGAGGAAGCATCAGAATCAGAATCAGAAATACTTTATTTATCCCAATTAACATATCATGCTAACAATTAGCATATCACCAGCAAGCTTGCATTTGCATCCCTGCACCATTTTACCCTCGCTATGTATTACAGGTATTAATGGTTTGCTGTATGGTAATCTTCGTGGACTGAGCATGTGCCAAGGCAACAAGATCCAGTGGCATTTGTTTGCATTAGGCAATGAGGTAATCTATGTTATATTATCACATCTCTATTCTTAATATTACTGTTACAGAGAATATTTTCAAAATATTCAACTGAGCATTTAATCTAAACATTTAGTTCAATTTATAATGTTTACAAACATTTAGAAGAACAGGTTGGTTCTTTTAGGGGGTTCCAAAGTGGATCATTTGCCTCTATCTCACCTTGTTCACACTGACCCTCCTCTTTCACTTTATACATGAATCTTCTCTGTTGTCTTCCTCTTTCTCTCCTGCCTTTCCTTCCTCTGCACATGTCCATAATATCTCCATCTCGTCTCTTGAACTTTGCCTCCAAACAGCTTAACCTGAGCTGTCCTTCTGATGAACTCATTTCTAATACGGTCCATTCTGGCCACTCCCAACAAAAATCTCAACACCTCCAGCTTGGCCTCCTGTCTTTTCATTAGTGCCACAGTCTCCAAACCATCCATCACAGCAGGTCTCACTACTATCTTGGAAACCTTCCCTTTCACTCTTGCTGCTATCCTTCTGTCACAAATCACCCTGACACTCATCTCCAAGCACACTCCACCCTGTCTACACTCTCTTCTTCACCTTTCTTGTGTGCTGTCTGTTGTTTTGGATGGTTGGCTCCAGGTATTTAATTAAACTTGTCCATCTTCCCTCTCTCTACTCCTTGCATGTTCACCTTTCCACCTGCCTCACTCTCATTAACGCACATGTTTCTGCTGACATTCCTCTTCTCTCCACCTCTCCAGGCTCTCTTCCACCTACTTTCAACTCTCAGGAGACAGTTTTTCAAAGACAGAAGGGGCTGTGGGCATTATCCTAATTGTTGCTAACTAAACCATGAGACACCTGCAAATACAGACAGTCTCACAGCGGTTGTTCCAACCGAGTGCTTTCAAAGGTTCAGCTTTTTTAAGGATTTAAGTTTGCGTTGCTGAGACTGTTGCAGAAGTTTTCTACTGATAGTCTTTAATCAGATAAGGTTCAA